TTTTGCAATTGAAAATGGCATTACACCCCGCATCGCTAATTAAGTTGCACATTACATCCATAAACAGCTCCATTAGCACCATGAATAAGTGTTTAGAGAAAACGTGGTACCTTGACGCCAAAAAGAAGTACCTTCAGTTCAAAAAATGTGGTCCCTTTTGGAAAAAAGTAGTACCTTTACAAAAGGGACTTATTTTTGCAATTGAAAATGGTATACCCCACATCGCTAATTAAGTTGCACATTACATCCATAAACAGCTCTATTAACGCCATGAATAGTTTCGAGAAAATGTGGTACCTTGACGCCAAAAACTAGTACCTTCAGTTCAAAAAGGTGGTACCTTTGGAAAAAAAATGGTACCTCCGCAAAAGGGACTTATTTTTACAATTGAAAATGGTATTACACCCCGCATTTCTAATTAAGTTGCACATTACATCCATAAATAGCTCCATTAGCGCCATGAATAAGTGTTTAGAGAAAACATGGTACTTTGACGCCAAAAAGTGGTACCTTTAGTTCAATAACATGGTACATTTGGATAAAAAGTGGTACCTTTGCAAAAGAGATTTATTTTTGCAATTGAAAATGGTTACACCCCACACCGCTAATTAGGTTGCACATTACATCCATAAATAAATCCATTAGCGCCATGAATAAGTGTTTAGAGAAAATGTGGTACATTGACGCCAAAAAGAAGTACCTTCAATTCAAAAACATTGTCTCTTTGGGGAAAAAGTGGTACCTTCGCAAAAGGGACTTATTTTTGCAATTGAAAATGGTATTACACCCCACAGCGCTAATTAAGTTGCACATTACACCCATAAATAGCTCCCGTTAGCGCCATGAATAAATGTTTAGAGAAAACGTGGTACCTTTTTTCCAAAAAGTGGTACCTTCAGTTCAAAAACGTGGTACCTTTGGAAAAAAAAATGGTACCTCCGCAAAAGGGACTTATATTTGCAATTGAAAATGGTATTACACCCCGCATTTCTAATTAAGTTGCACATTATATCCATAAACAACTCCATTAGCGCCATGAATAAGTGTTAAGAGAAAACGTGGTACCTTGAAGTGAAAAACAAGTACCTTCAATTCAAAAACATGGCCTGTTGGCTAAAAGATTGGTACCTTCGCAAAAGGGACTTATTTTTACAATTGAAAATGGTATTGCACCCCACACCGCTAGCACCATGAATAAGTGTTTAGAGAAAACGTGGTACCTTGACGCCATAAAGTGGTACCTTCAGTTCAAAAATGTGGTACCTTTGGAAAAAAAGTGATACCTTCGCAAAAGGGATTTATTTTTGCAATTGAAAATGGTATTATAACCCACACCGCTAATTAGGTTACACATTACATCCATAAATAAATCCATTAGTGCCATAAAGAGTACAAACTTTATTCCAATCTATCTAACTTGAGGGAATGAATAATACAAAATATACTCCAACATCACTTAAAACATTACACAGAAGCTAATTTTTTTTTTTTTTTATTCTATAAGATATCCTAAAAACAATTATTCTCTCCCTAATAGGTAAAGAAGCTGCTTTTAAGCCAGTTCCATTATGAAATAGTACTTTGCAAAAAGTTCTCCTTACCTGATTAGTGTCCTTAGTTCTTCAAAGTTTTTCTCCCGGAACGGAGCTCTCAACCACTGCAACTTCCACCAGCGTTCCTTAAGCAATTTGATAGAGTTTTACCTTCCAAATCTATAATTAGGAGTTATGCAAGCAAATCGTAGCGGGTTGAAGTGAGAGAGGTTAACAACACAAAATATTTTTACAAGGGTTGGCATGAATTTATGGAAGACAATTCACTAGAGTTCAAAAATTTCCTAGTATCTTATTATATATACTGAGGAGATTTCCTAGTATTTTCTTATATATGAAGGAAGAACATTTGATGGTTGAAGACAATGGCAAGCTGCAAAATCCTATACGTCGGAGGGGTCTCATGGCCTCACGAAGTGTCGTGAGGAGTTAAAAGTGGAATAGTTTCAAATATGAGGAGTTAAAAATGGAATAGCTTATAATGCTATAATGAATAGAAGCCAAATAATAGCAAAATAAATACAGGGTACATTTGTAGAAACACAATCAAAACGTTTATTGACGGAAAAATAAATACACACTTGAACACATTGAAAAATAAATACACACCAAATCTCGATGGAGGTGACGACGATTACATGCCAGGTTAGTTTTACATAAAAAAAATGAACCATCGATGTGAGGAGTTATAAATGGAATAGTTTTGAGAACGATTGCGAATGTAAAACAACTACTTTCAATCCATGCATCTCTTAACGAGTACTTTCGTTCTATATACTTTCGGTCCATAGATCAACAACTGAGATTTACTAGTGCTAATGTTATAGTTTTGTGCATATGCCATATGTCTATTTATAGAGCCCAATTCACAAAAATGTGAATGAATTTTACCCATATCATGATTTGACAAAAGGGACTTACACATCTCTCTCTTTGGCATGATAGGGGTGTCTTTATAATAGTTGTCATATTATACACCTAACACCACTATTTTTAACTTTACCCATGTGATGATAAGATGAGAAAGTGGATTGGTTTTGTGTATCTACAACAGCTGATTTTTTCAGTAAGAGTCATATTCTGTGACTAGCCATGTGATTGAAAAAAAAGCCAAATAATTTGAAGTGGCCTTAGACCATGGCAGATAAAGATGAATGGTCACATCATCAAGAAAAAGCCTTAGTGTCTGAAAAAGTTATAAATAGTGGCATTGTTGTCATGAGGCAGAGTATTGACATCCCTATTTGTAATTACAATTTACTAATCTAATGTTTTTATTTTAACAAAACTATTATAATGTTAATTTATTTTTTAAATAGATTTCTAAGTGCACTTTGATTATGTAGTATCTTTATTTTTTCTCATATTTGATCAAAGCTATTAAAAAATCTATATGTCAGATGTTGCAGGAATGAGAGCATTTCTATTGCAAAGAAGATGCATAATAGTTCACGTGTTTATATGTCAGATGTTACCCATGTGATGATTTGACAAAAGGGACTTACACCTCTCTCTCTTTGGCAGGAAGTGGGGTGTCTTGCATAATAGTTCACGTATTTATGCACCTAGCACCACTATTTTTAACTTTAGCCATGTGATGATAAGATACTACAAGAGTTGATTTATTCAGTAAGAGTCCCATTCTGTGTCTAGCCATGTGATTGAACAAAAAGCCAAATAATGTAAAATAGCCTTACACCATGGCAGATAAAGAGGTATGGTCACATCATCAAGAAAAAGCCTTACTGTTTGAAAAAGTTATAAATAGTACCATTGTTGTCATGAGGCAGAGTATTGACATCCCTATTTGTAATTACAATTTACTAATCTAATGTCTTTATTTTAACAACACTATTATAATGTTAATTTATTTTTTAAATAGATTTCCTCCTATAAATTATTTATATCATTTGGATAATCTTTAAATTATTTCATCCATCACTTTTTCAAATTATGCATGAATGGTGTCTGCCTATCACTACAACAAAAAATTCATTGTACATTAAAAAAATTCATCATTTACTAAAGTTCCAAAACAATTCACCATTCATCAATGTTCCAAAACAAGAACAAAATCCATTTGTCAAGAATATCATCAATTTCCTAGCACTGCTGTTTACCAAATTTATAAACCTTCTAGAACTTGAGTTTCAGTCTGCACTTGTAAAAAAATCACCTCATTGTCCATGGTACAAAATCCAAGCAAGTAGCTGCATCACACAAGTCTCAAATTCAGTATGCTAATCACAAAAGGGAAAGAACAAGATTGTCATTTATGAATCAAATAGACATCATCATCATTGACAAACAAAATGTAGCGAAGAAACTACTACCAAAACGTACGAACAAAATAACATACATAAATAAACAAAACCAAGATAAGAGAGACTAGTGCTAATTTAGGCATTTGGCAACTTAATTCCGCTACTCCTGATAAACAATACTGCTTTCCCATACAATTAATTTGGGTAATGGAGGTCTAAATCCCCGTGACCCGCCTAATTTAATTCCAAACGTTTTGTATTTTCATGTAAATTTTGGTATACACCCAAAAAGACCAATTAATTATATTGGATTCTCAACTACAGGTATAATTTAACTTGATTATCAGTGAACAAGATATGTAAGTAGTAATAGACTAAATAGTAAAGGGAAACAAGATCCAGTATAGGATATTTTCAACAAGGGGTAAGAAAACAGGATCATAAAAGAACTGGACAAAGAAACTGCAACTATATTTGAAGATTAACCAGTTAAACATCACCTTTTGAGTCTTTAATTTCTTTAATAACCCTACTTCGGGATCACTCCTACACCAACACAGTTTTTTTTTTTAGTAATTTCTTCAGCAGTATCCTAAAGCCATCATCCATACCAAGACAGTTTTTGGTTTCTTTTAATTTTCTAATACAGTTTTCTAATACAATGTGTGATTGTTCCAATCAAGAGAACCAACCCTTGAACTATGCCCGTCTTGCAAAGTCCTCAGTTGTTCAGAAAAACCAAGCAAATTAGAGTACAGGATGGAGAGGTGGCACCAGAAAAATCAAATCTAATGCCTAGATCATGAGAAATGTGACAATTTGCAATAAATACATTTAATTTCACTCCAAATAAAGAATATAAAACTCTTAGTTCTAATATTTGTTTTCTAAAATATAGGCCAACTATACAAGCCATAATCCTTCAAATATGTTCACTTTATGCATTATATCAGTATAATAAAATCTTCAATGATACATGCCTCATTCAACCTTGCACTTCACCACTAAACTGGACTTTGTTCTCTTCCAAACTAAATAAAAGGTAAAAGAAACTACCAACTTTTTTCTCTTCCAAACGAAAGCATAATTAAAAGAAAACTCTTACCATCCGACAAGATGAAGGGTCCAACAACTGGATGTGGGAATTACTTAAACCAACAGCAAGATGTACTCCATCCGGCGCCTATCTGACACTTGTCACATGCCCAATTTCCTCATCAATCACAACAAGTGCAGAAGTAGCGCCATTAGCAGCATTCCACAAATATACTGAATTCCCAAGAGCGATAGCGACAATGTTACTGCTACTCCAATCCAGTAAATTCAAATAAAACTCATCTAGGAGCTCAGAAGCAACAAGAATCCTTTCTGGAGACTGTTAAATTACCAAACAAACACATGTCAACAAGAAAGCAATCAATCCAAAACACAAATCAGAATGAGAGCTTAGCAACAAGAAGAAGAAAAAGGAAAGAAAGAAAACCCACTTGGGGAATCTATCTCCTAGACTTGTTCTTAAAAGCAAGGATCCTCTTCCTGTAAGCTTCTTTGGCTGGAGAGCATGGTGTTGGGCTTTCCTTTCTTACCATCCCACCGTTGAGCATGTAATGTGCAAAATCAAAATCCATTGCAGATCGGTTGGGAATAAACCTATCCAGCTGCCATCCCAAAAGAACAAGATTAGTGTGAATTTCCAATAAAACCTATATATATATATATATATATATATATATATATATATATATATATAAAGGCAAAATGACAGGACAAAATCAGCCATAGAGTTTAAAACCCAGGAGCAAGATTAGTGTGAAGCCTATTGCAATGACAAAAGAAGGCAGGCAAAGATATTAAAAAAAAAATTAAATAAATAAAGAGAGTATATTTTGAAATCAAATATTTTCTTTATATGGAACACAAAAACAAAACCTGAAACTGTCGTTACTGTCTTCTACAACTATTTTGGTTCCTTTCGAGTAAAAATTCTTTGCAATCCAAGACAATAGGACATATGATAATATTACATTATTATCTCTTTTCCTCACTTAGAAACCTAACAATTGGAGAAATGAAAATGCTTACCGGTTCACCTTATAGCCTGTTGGCTTATGGTTTAAATTATAAACCCACTGGTCAAGGTTCGAGACTGGTATATATAGAGAGGAAGCTATATGAGAAGTGACAGATGTTAGATTGTGAATCTTTTGGTCATTCTACCCAATCTTGCTCTTCTGAGCCCACTACTAAGCATACACAAAAATGGAGAATGAAGGAGGACGGCTAGACCTAATTTGAATTAATGGGAGGAAGTTATAAGGGAAAAAGGGAGAAGTGTTGTAGATCCCCCCAATGAGGAATTGTGAAAGGAAAGCCCTAAAATGGCTATACCTATTGCTTCATTATCAAATATATTTGAATTCCCTTCTTCTTTTGATGTGTCTTTGATCACAATCTCATTGCACCTCTCTCAAGAGATTATGGGACCTATTGATTATTTAAACTTTATTGGGTCTGTTTCTCTGAATAAAGAAATAACTACGTAAATCCAATTTTATACAAATAGAAACAAAAACATATTGAGTGTGTTTTCCCTGAATCTTCATGTTGAATCCCATGGAAATCCAAACCAAGAAACCTACAGGACCATGACTTAAAAAATTATCTAATGATGTAAAAAATTCTAGTCGTGCAGAATCTATACAAGTTGAACAAATAAACCCTAAATTCCTGAAAACACATATTCATAGACAATAAACCATCCAAATATGCTAAAGAAACCCTCACGTGAAACAAAATCAAAATCCAAGAAATTAATGGGAACATCAACCACAAAAATCTAAAGATATTGCAAACAACACTAGATATCGTCTAAAAAAAAGAAACATTCAAACATTAGACGAAGAAACCGTAGTTCACAGTAAATCCAAAAGTCCAAGAAATTCACGAAGACAAACAAAAGAAAGAAAATCAAAAGGAATTCGATACAAAAGCTAAAAGAATTTATACTTTTCTCGTTTTCTTGAATTCATTGCAACGAAACAGAAAGCCGAAAATTAATCGGTTGGCGAACATACATAAACACACACAAGTAGATGGAAACACATACTTTTTCGCACAAATTTTGCCTTCGAAGTTTCTGATCGGAGAGAGGGAATTGCGACATTTTTGTGTCCAATTCCTGAATCCAAAATTGATGTTTTAGGAACAGCATATATATATATATATATATATATATATATAGGGATCAAAATTGTATAAAAACAGAGTAGAAATCCCAGCAAAACGATGAACAAGACTAGAGAGAGAGAGCAGGAGAGCGTTGATGAATGAGTTGGGTTTAAGAGAAAATTAGCAAAACCTCCACATATCAACATGTATGAAGAACGTGAGAACTTGCATTAACTCATTAAACAACATATCAACAACTTCTCCTCTACAACAATCAATCAAAACCTCCACATACGATGATCCCATACTCCCATGCTTTCAACATTTTAAAACAAGAAAAAAAAATGGCCTCCACATAGGCCGATGTAGCAATAAGGTAATAAAGTTCAAGATACACCATAAAATTGGTCACTTAAAGGCATGTGACCCCCCCGAGTATGAGTATAAAAAGCATTACAAATGTGCAATCATAAAAGATTTTTATCGAACATAAAGACCATATAACTTACAAATTTGATGTACTTGATAGCCATGCAATCGACGCTCCCGTTGTTATCTCTTCCCAGCCCCTAGCGGGAAGACGACATTTGAAGTACACCTATTGTAAATCAATTAAAGAAAATATAACACCAAAATATTGTACAAGTGGAGATGGTTAAATGAAAAAACTCAAAAATAAGGGACATATGAGCAGACAACTTTTTTATTAGGCGCTAGTAACCAAAAGCAAGACTCTAAACAAAATAAATAAATAAATGGGGTAACAGTAGTCAACTAAGATTATAGCAAAATCCTTTTTATTACTGTTTCTTTATTTTTTTATTTTATCAAATATGATTGGACTATTTGGACCACAAAAAATCAGAAGGAAGCCCAAAAATCTATTTGAAACAATTTTTCCCAGAAATACATACTTCCCTTTGAAAAATCAATAAAAAAGAAATTCTCAAACAATTTGCATGAAACCAAGTCCATTGGAAGCTTAAACACACAATTTTTCTTCTATCAATTTAAATCAATAAATTTTCTTACCGATTAAATCAGGTTTGAAGGAAAAGATAGGAAAAATTCTACTTACAAAACAAGGATCACAGCATGTTAATATTAACTTCAAAAATCCATACTAATTTCAAAATCCAATCAATTTGAGCGAAAACAAAAACCTGTAAACTCATTAATAATAACTGATACAACATAATTTGAAGTGATTATTGTCAATTATGCTCGTGAGTTTGAAACGTATTCGTTCACGTGATCTTTTGGATATTTAATAGAGAAACAAACAAGTCTTTTTCTTTGTCATTGTATAAAAAAGAACAAGTGATAAATACCAAAAAGTGTCATACATACCTCATCGGTTCGCAACACAACAAATTGGTCTCTGCTGGTTATATGTGACAACACCTCACTTCAGGGACGGATATAAGTCCAAAATCCTTAATAAAGTAGTCCCCAAAGGCTCTAGACATTGCCAATCTGGGGCATTCCTCATTCGGCAGCCAAATTTTGTGCACCACAGGCTTGTCGTTTAAACTGAACACTCTTCCTTTGTACTGATTTATCCATTCAGCCTCATCTGTCAAACAATGTTGATAATGTAAACACAATGTTCATATAATTTTTGAGACACAAAGAAAGTGAGGAAGAGAGAGACTCACGAGGTAAATTGTGGTTGAAATAACAGTCATAATACAGTAGGGGAGCTCCAAGGAATTAATAGTGAGGAAACAAGTCGTAATGACTTTAATATGATGTTATTTTCCTAGCCTTCCGTAAGCATGTAACATGTAAGCCCGTCCATTGTCACATAATCCCATAACCTCCTTGCTTTCACGACCCTCCAGCTGCCAGAAAACTCACACACCTATGATTTTTAAATAACACTCCACATGAGACTCATACGAGGACCCAGGAAAATAATTTCAATACCAAAATAAACCACCAGACGAATAATACAGATTCAACTTAGAATAAGTTACATCATACTTAGAAATGTTTTCTAAATAAGTTAGAAATACTATCACAACATAGTTATACTAATGCAGTAGGTGAGCTCCAAGGAATTAATAGTAATTACAAAATAATTCCATATTTAAGGCCTTAACACCTTACAAAATAACTCCACTAGAATTAGCAATTATATAACTATTCTATCCAGGTATAGGAGACTTGCACTTTCGACGATTATGACCATTCTTGCCACATCGCGAACAGTGTAACGACCTTACATTTTGAAATTATGATTCGATTCGTTTAATACGAGGTCGTCCAGGGGGACGTGTTACCGCAAGAGGCCTAAGATGGGAAGCACCTTCACCGTCAGCAGCAGCAGCAGCAGCAACAGCAGCTGGATTCGGCATATCATGCATGGGGACAGAAGACATGAGATGTTCGCATAGTTTTTGTTGTGTTTCAACCCTAAACCATGGATCAACCATCTCATAAATATTTAAAGATAATTCATGGATGGCATAGCATGCATGCAAACAAGGAATCCCACTCATGGTCCACTTCAAACAACTACAAGAATTTTCACTGCCAAATACCACCCTGAATGGTTTTCTGTCTCGATCATATATTGTACACTCAGTAGGCGAAACACGCATCGACTGAAAACCAAGTGCTAACTCTTGCTCTTTTTTAATTTTCTCCTCAATACGATCCCCAACCGGGATAGTCCACTTCTGAACGTCCAAACTCTTTTGGTATAAAAATTGCTAAGTCTTTGCATGTGTGTATCCATCAGCCTTGTGATTGAAAAAACCCTCTCTTCTTTCACCCATGCATTGAAGGACTCTGCTTGATTGGTGTATAATTTATCCCAACGCTTGGAAGTAAACATAGCATTTGACCAATGTTCAGGTGAATTCGCCAAAACCCAATCGCACAACTCCCCTCGAAATACCCGCATGGCAGCCAATGCATTCTTATACTCATCTACAGTTCGAGCATATGCAATTTTATCGAGTAATTTTTTCACATGCTCTTTACCCGAAGCCCTCAATCCTAAACTTTGTCTCCCAAGAATGGATGTAGAAAAATTCGCCGTTAGGTGACGAAGACACCATGAGTGGTACTGGGAGCCAAAAATATCTCTAATACAGCTTATTAGGCTCGGATGCCTGTCGGTTAAGATTGTCACAATGTGACCATCTAGAATCTCTTTCACCTTACTCAAGAACCAATGCCAATCATCATCATTCTCAGAAGAAACAACAGCATACGCCAAAGGCCACAAGCCATCATTCGCATCGAACCCCGTTGTACCAAGCATTGTTCCTTTATAATTGCCACTCAAGTGGCAAGCATCGATTGCTAACATGGGCCTGCAATAATTGATGAAACCTCGTATGGAGCACCCATAAGCTACAAACACTCGCTTAAATCTCCTATCATCCGTGCACTCCCACGATGTAATTGTCCCAGGAATATATTCTGCTATTCGTTCACACAACCACGGGACTAAAATATAGCTATCCTTGGGATTTCCCTCAATGATATGACGTGCACACTCCTTAGCTCTCCACGATTGCATGTAAGTCATTTTAGCAGAAAATTCACCGTTTATGTCTGTGGAAATAGTCTTGGGGGTGCATTTAGGATTGTCCCTAACCTTGTTCACAATAGCTCGACCCATTTCCTTTGACCAAAAAATGGCTTTATAATCTGAAATGTCTTGAGCAGTGTGAGTGTGAACATTATTAAACCGCTTGATTCTCACTATATCACCACTTCCTTCACAACCAGCTGACAATTTCCATGGACAATTATTAACCTTGCACATAACTCTATAATATTTTCTGCTATTGTCCAAGTACTTGAACCAAAAATGATTACGAAGACCAAACAAAACGAGTGCATCTTTGAAATCATTTGGGCTGTCAAAAAGCTGATCCACGCAAAGAATGTCATCAATGTGTCGGAAAGAATCTCGATGCGCATTTATCGGAGGAAATGAAGACGTTGACGCAACACTTTGCAGAAGACCAATTGGCGATGTGGCTTCAACAAATTGTCTACAAGTGGATAAAAAGGTATATTAAAAATCACATAACCTATGCAGCGCATACATCAATGTATTACTTTAAATATATGTGTCTTACCTCTCACTATGATCAGTAGGAATTGTGCATGATGCAATTACAGGCGTTGCATCTTCCATATACACATTTAGCATGGGACCACTCACTACAAGCATCATTCTAAATCCAGATTCTCCCGTCATCCTCAAAAGTTCATTCTTGTTAGATTCGGTGGTATAATATATGACTTTACCACTCATGTTTGAAGATGAACGTTGTTGTAACTCATTTATAAATGATTCATATGTTGTTGTTGTTGTTATCATAAAAGGGTCTGTGACACCGCCGATGTATATAATTTCCCCATTCTCATTTTTGTCAATTTTCCCATCAAATCGACAATAGCATATAATTTGTCTCTCATCCATTTGTCCAACTGCTTCGAAAATTGACTCATTAGTTAAATTAAAAAAAAAAAAACACTAAATATGAAGTTCAAAAAATAATGAAATATAAAACAATTAAATATCATAATTATATAATGTAATTTAGAGATCTATTTACAGCGAAACACTACCAATTCCCTCAATAGGGATAGGCGATGTCAAGATTAAACTTTTCCTAAACACACACTACAGACCTTTTTCAAATCAAAATACAACCACAAAATCAATGCCATTGATTACTAGATAATTGTATCACTATGTGTACAACAAACATATATACAAGATGAGGAAGATTATGAGATGAATAGAGAGTTAAATGGGACAATATAAGTTGAAAATAAAAAATTGAGAGTTAAATCGAGAGAGAGTAGAGTGTTGAATATTTTTCACACACATAATTTATATGTGTAAGTCTTGAAAATGGGGGAGACAAGTACAAGGGAATGTTGGAATAATAAATTAATACTAAATACATTTTTTTGATAAATTAATGCTAAATACATATATTAAAAAATCCTCATTTATAGAGTTTGCTAGCTTTTGCATCAATTCTATCATGTGCGTAGATGCCTAAAGACATATTACACAGAGGTATACTCTACATGCCATTTGAGAAAGAGGCAACAATCTTGAATAATTCTTGATCTAAATTGAGTTAAAATAATTAATTATACATAAAAACTAATTGGACTACCTATGTGTTGGTGGCTTTGAATTTTAACTCCTAAATTCCTAGGTTCTGCTGAGGATTTAGTCTGCAGTCATCAAAGAGCCTTGAATATATAGCTTGAATGAAAAAAGCTACCAAAACAAATAAAATCATTCTTCTTTGGCCCTCTGACTATGTGGGCATGGAAGATTCCCGTAAATAGTCTGGTTATCTTAAAATTGAACAAATTGTTAAGTTTCGGAATTCTTTCTAATAGGAACCATTTTTTATTTTTTGTATTACTTACTTTTTCCACTTCTATTACCACCCTTCCCCATCCAAGCGACTCAGCTTGAGTGGTATCTCATGTCGCTTCCAAATAAGGATTCAATTTCCATGTAAAAAATAATAGTAAAAAATTGATAAATTCTGACTCTTTTTGTAGGAGGATACAGATATAGCTGATTTTACATAGATATTATTTTCTAACGGAGTGAATTGATACTACTCATAGCTATCGAGCAATATTATGGTGTGTATTGGTTGTAACTGACAATGTGAATTTAAAATTTCAAATGGATATAACCATGGTCAATATTAATGGTTTTAACTAAATTTTTATATTTCCATTAAAATGGTATCTCTCTTTGATTTTGGATCATGTGTGTGGTTATTAAATTATGTGTTGATTTGTAAGGTTGCTTTCAGATTTGGATGAAAATAAAATGAAAGTCTTGATAGTTTGTTGATGTAATGAGCTTAAAAATTTAAAATTATATGCTTTGAATATATATCTATATCAGTCCATGCCAACTACTGCTTAATGATAAATAAGCCGTGAAACTACTTTAATCTTATGGAGCTTATTAGTTGCATCATGATTACTACTAGTTTTGTGTATGTGTTCCATTATGTACTAGTGAATGTGTGGTATTTAGGCCTATGGCCAGTGTGTGTGTGTTAAAATCATGTATAAACATACATATATATGACAAAGTCGTGTTATGTTTAAATATTTCAGCCCAACTCTTGTAAAAATCAGAACAAATTCATGTTGGTTTGGATGACTCTTAAAGGTTTTTTTTTTTGGAAGGTTAAACAAGTATTATTATACCATTTCTCTCATTCCTTCTCTTTCTCCTTCCAAATCAAGGTACGTTAGGGTTTTCTCTCCCCTAATGGCACACGTGTTCTATGGACCTGTATTAAAGTATAGTTCACACTATGATTCTTAAGATTGATGTGCTTATTGACGGTCTAGTGCTGTTTCAATCTCCTCCTAACAGCACTTAACATAATCATAAACTAGATTTAGCTCAGCCATTTTGTCTTGAAGTATTTCCTCAATCTCATTGGGAAGCTATTCATGTAGTCGCTGAAATATGTTTGTTTTTTTATGATCCAAACACACTCAAACAAACACCAAACAGTGACCAATAGCTAGCCGCAGAAGTTACAATAGGTGTAGCTAGCCTATGACAAGTGTGTTTGTGTTAAAATCTAGGTCATACAATTCTTTTTAACAGTTGTAAATCTAGCTCCCATTCTCACGATTTGTTTGTAATTTAATTTTGTTACTTTGCGCTCTATCTACCACTTTATGCGACTTAGTATAAAACCAAATATAAATATTAACTTACTGAATTTTTCTGTTACTATCAAATACCATTAAAGCAAATTTACAAAATTAGACCCTCCCTCACATGAAACAAAAATTTTAGAATTTATTAATCATTCTAATCGATTGCAATAGGCTGCCAACATAGTTAATTGAGAGTCGATAATTCAAAGAGCATTTCATTTTATTTTTGTCCAAAGCTGAAAGCAACCTTACAAATCAACACATAATTTCATAATCACACACATGATCCAAAATCAAAGAAAGATACGATTTTAATGGAAATATAAAAAAATAAGATGTTTGGATACAATTGAAAATCAAAAAATAAAAGTACATGAAGCACCAGATCTAAAATTAGATTCCTCATAAGTACAAATAATTCTTTGAGACTACGCTTTCATGAGTACAAATAATTCTTTGGGAGCTCCGAGAATTAGTGGGGTAAAACCATGTATATCTCGATTGCGAGAAAAATATATAATGCAGCTAAAAGAGCATAGGCAGATTTAATAAAGCAATCCCCACAAAAATCTATAAACTCTACCATGTTTGAAGGCTTTTCTTTTAAAAAAGACTTTAGTAGTACTACACTTATCTGTTTCCCATTGAAAACTTTAAATCACCCTTTAGCTGTTTTGATTTTGATTTTGATTCCTTTCCTGGTGCAAAGACATGTAGTATCCGTATTCACCTTCACATAAAGGTGGTGTCTTTGGTTTGATTGTAGTGCCAGAGTTTTGGACCAAAAAAATCAGATCCACCTCAAAGAGAGAGAGACAGCTCTCTCATGTAGCCTTTTCAAAACAAAGCAAAATACAAAGAAATATTGTCAGTGTTCCCTCAACCTCTTCACTCCTCATTTATGAAACCTGTCTTTCTTTATTTATTTGACATCAAAGCTCTATCAAGTGAAATTCTCAACTCAACTCACAATATTATATATATATATATATATATATATATATATATATAATATGTTTTTGGAGTACGTGTTGTGATTCTGTACACAATAGGAGATTATTTATTATCTATTATTAGAAAATCGAACAAATAAAATGAGAAACTTTGGGAATACCCCCCCTAAGGTAGTGTGTTTAATTGTGGCATTCATATTAAGTCATCAATTTAATATGTATGTTCCACAATATATTTATATATATGCACGGGTATAGAATATATTAGATAAAAAAGTAGTGTTGCTCTTCAATTTATACAAAAAGTAGTGTTACTCTTCAATTTAGTTCTAACTTCTATTTCTACTTTGATTCCAAATAATGCAAAGAGGTGTCATATTCTGATCTAGTATAGAGAATGCTACTCAAAACCTAATTCTCAGAAAGCTTAATTTCTCTATTAAGCTTTCCTCTTCGCACTTCTTCAGCTCTCACGGCTGTTAGGGAAGTTCTTGAAAAATCGGCAAACTCTCTCTCATCTCCCAGAGAAATGCTGCCCAGAATTGACGAGAGTGGCAGGTTTTGCAGCCCCAGAGCCGCCAGAGAGATCACCTTGTATGTCCCCCTCTTACCAATTTTTGTTCTTCTGTGTGTGTATATATATATAGAGTTCGGGCTATTTGTTTTGGTTCTTTGATGGGTTGAAAATTGCTTGAATTTCAATGTCAGGATAATTATTTATGCGGCGTGTTTGGAGGGTTATGACCCAATTCGGCTATTCGAGAAGAGAATCAACACCCGTAGAGGTATTAGTATTACCAATGCTATGTCTTGTTTTATGACAATATGTTTATCTTTTTGGGTTTTTCTGCATCCCTTTTGATAAAACTGAATAAGTACTTAATTTATTTATTTATTATTATTTATATAACTGGTGTTTAGATAACTACCTACTGCTTTATATTTTCTCTTTTCCATCTCGTTAGAAACTAAATTACTTCCAAAGCATCAGTCTTGGACAGAATTTTGATCGAAATTTACTTCTTTCTTTCATTCTCTCTTTCTTTTCCCGTAAATACAATTTAGACGTAAAGGTCATATAACAGTTTTCCCATTATTGTTCGTGTCTTGTATTTTCAACTGAATTTGGGCTTAGGTATAAAGCAGCTTGCACTCTTCACCGGTTAGGGGGGGGGGGGGGCGCGGGGGGAACTTGTGAGCATATCTAGAAATTTGTTGTTTAAACCCATTCAAATTTCATGAACAGATGGTGAAGAAATCTTTTCCATTTCTAGTCATTGCATGGCAATATCTTAGACTAAATTTTTTAATCGTTCAAAAATGTTAACATATTCAATCAGTCTACTAAAAAGAATTATTTATCTAATTTATTCAAATGTTGGTAATTATCAGACACCAAGGCCATCACTGACATGCTCTAAAATGCTATGTTTCCCTAGTGAAAACATTTACCAAAGACTTCCAACCTTGTAAGCTAAGGCACAAATCATAGCATAACCATGAAGATTTGTTACTTCATCTCTGAGTCACAGTCCAAAGATCCAAATAGAGTAGCTTCTTCCCTTTTGTTTTATATTGAGAACTAAAATCTTTATTAGTGATTCTTAACACCCAAGATATTAATCATGAAATTATTATAAAGCATTTTCATTTAATTGAACCAAACTCAAATTTTATATGTAATTACATTTCAACCACTAAACCATAACAAATATAGTATGTATGAAAAACCTGTTTTTAATTTAATATTGTAGAACCAATACTAGTAATCTTAAACAATTCTTTTATTAAGCAAATGCAAATGGGAATGTAGATTTCACAAACATTTGATAACAAGTGTCCCTACCCAAAGACTATCACATGCATGCCTCTTTACAGTTTACATTTATTGATTGTATCATAAGGTCTCCAGAGCAAATGACTTATGAAGATAGGATTTAAGCTTGTTACCTTGGCACAATCTAGTTAGCTAACTAGTGAAATCCAACAAAAAGCCTGTAGGCACCACACGTACTGCCACTTGCTTCCACATGGTCCTAGTAAATTTAAAGAACATGAATTATTTGGATTTAGGGACATTGAATCTCTACTATACACAGGCAGGCATTAACAGTACAACGTTTAAGTTTTAAGATCAGATTAATGTTCTATAAAAAAAAAATTCAGCAGGTAACAAAGGACATGCATGGAAATTTGTTTTTTATCCTGTTTAATTATGTTTTCTTCAGCAAATTCCGAGTATTTTAACTATGAAAATCCATGCTAGTGAAAAGATTATAGGATAACATTTGGGATTTCAGTTCAATCAACGTATAAAGAAAGCATGAACTCTTCAAAAACAAGCAAACCTAATTACAAAAGAAGAAGAAGAAAAATAAAAAATAAAAAAAAACATTTGATTAATTAAGTATCTACTTTATGAAAATTTTGCCTTTGTTGGTGGGATAAAACTGAGTTTTAAAATTAATTTTGTCACGCACAAGAGAGCAACATTTTGTTACGCACATTTTAAACATATACAACAAACAAAGCAACAACAATCTTGATTGCAGAATAGAAATTATATATATATGATTGCATAATAGAAATTATAAGAGGAGAATATATATAAACATAACCTACATGAAAATCAGACATCCAATTGGAAAAAAAAAAAAAAAAAAAAAATTATAACACTAAATCAGGACCATAATCATCTAAAAAATAAACGTGTGTGTGTTAAGAGGGAGAGAGTACTTACCATATTACTAGAACAACAATAAATGAATGGCAGAAGTGGAGAAGTGCTTCGCTGGGTTACAGAGAGGGCACACCAACGACGGTTAGACGTAGAGAAGTGCTTCGCTGTTACAGAGGGGGAAAGAGAGAGGGCTTGAATGAGGGTTAGGGCTCAACGGCTACGCTTCAATCCTGTTACAGAGATGGGGGGAGAGAGAGAGAGAGGGCTCTTGAGGGCTCTTCACGAATGAGATGAGGGAGGGTTAGGGTTCCATGTTCGGTGATGCTGTGTTTGCCTGGGCTAGCTTCGCTGGATTTGTGATGCACGATTGTGTATTTTAGGGCAACAATGCTTTAGAGTTGGGTGACTAAATTAAACGGGGGCAATAAGGTAAATGTGCTGGAATAGTGAGAAGGGCATTTTAGGCACCACAAGTTTTAAACAGTAATAATTTATGTGCCATGTCATCAATTTAGTCAACCTTATTTTTAAGAAATATGAGACTTTGACTCGGCCTCTTAGTAAATATGAAACCCTAACCCCATTTATATGTAATAATCCCTTCAAAATACCTATTTTAAGTGACAATACCTTCACATATCACTGAATGTTGAATGCGGAAAACTTAAAATTCAAATATATATTTATATATATAATATCAATTCATAATATCCACTTAAAAGTTCAGAACTTAAAATTTTCAATAACTTCCAATTTTATCAATCAGTACCATACTCTCATAAGTAGCCTAGTCCACAAAGGACTATCTTCTTATGTATAATACCTCTAACATCAATTCCATCTAAGAAAAAATGTAATATATTCCCCTTATATTAGCATCTCGTACACATCACACATCGCTACTCATCAATTCACATGTATGAGGAAATTAAATAATGATTTTTTTCACCAACTTTCCTATAGAAGAGAGAGATGCAGATCGATAAAGAAATTGGAAGGCAATGCAAGAATACTGTCTTCTCATCAATTTTTTACTTTTATTAATATATTTATTTATTTTGTTGCTAGAAAGATAGATTTAATACATCATGGTTAGTTTAAAAGTTGAAAAAGATCATGCTATTAAGTAACGTAGCCTGATTGACCAAACAGACGTTCTACCATGGCTGATGCTAAGCCTAAGCTACAAAATCAATGAGAATAAACTAGATGCGCCACTGTTCTCAAATTCTTATGATATTCGATAAACTAAATAAGATATGAATCTTATATATTGTCTCTCAAATTATGTAAAGCAAAGCATACATATTAACAGTAAAAAAGAATAAAGGATGTAATATGAATGCTATAACAAGTTAACATTACTTCGTAAGAAATACGAGAACATAAAACTCAAAAAATCAAGATAGAATGCACAAGAAAACACATAAAATACCATCCCATGATCCACAAATTGTAAACTGGAAAGTAAGAGCATTAACCTCAATAGAAAATCTATACAAACAAGGAGATGCCTCTATTAGGGAAATGCAAGGAAGGAAGCTATTGATAAGAAATGCTTTCACTCTCAATCTCAATTGCTTTATATTCCTGAATTTAGGAAATTTAGGGAAGTCATAAAATGCCTGAAGAGTCCGACCAAGAGTAATAACAAAAGTGTGTCAGAAAACCTTGAAGAGAAGGCATACAAACACAAAAGAGAGGTAGATACTAACCTGATGCGTCAAGTGCAATTCAAGTGTCTGCAGCTGCTTGATATATGTTGAAAGCTGGAAAGATTTATAAATGGTAAATGTGCAAATGTTACTCCCCAGGGATACTCTAAGAAGATCGCATGGACTCTTGAAACACGAGTTTATTTTGGGACCAAAATATTCAAATGACACAAGATTTTTTGCAGATATCTCAATGTTTTCCAAATGCCAACAGTAAACTATTTTCAAATGCTTTAGTGATTGACCACAAACTTCTAGATTTACTAAACATAACGAGCTATTAACAGATAATTCTTCAAGAAATGGACAGGTCGATAAGAAGCGTTCAAGACATTCTTTAGTCACTCCTGCACAAGTAAAACGAATTTTTAAATTTTTTTTTTTTTTTGAATGCAAGTAACCACATTTATAATCTAAAGCATATTTAGAAAATTAATTATATCAGTTTCAAAAATCAAACAATAAGTGGCTTACATAAGGGTTGGGAGGAGGGGCAACTTCGTCCCAGAAAAGGATTTTTCTGACTGAGTAGGCAGTGTTGCAAGTTGCAACAACCAAAATTCTTAGGGAAGTTTTATGACAACTTTTTTTTGTAGGGGATCCAAGAAAGGAAGAACTACCTTTCTACATACTCCCTACACCAAAAGCTCGGAAGCTCAAGGAAAGTGAAGAAGAAAATATAACAAAATAAATTATTAAAAAATTGAAAATTTTGCTCAGGTCTTAACTTAGGTGATCTCTCTTCAAGGATGAGGGTTCCAAGTCTCACTTTGTGAATTGCTTACCTAGTTACCTATATAAAAGAAAATTGTTTTTGTGAGCATCTAATCTACACAATCAGATATGTTAAACTCTATTACATATAAACTGTACAAAAATTCTCATCATTTATTAACTATACAAAATCACAACAGTTAAATGCTAGCACTGCATTCTTCCACTTGCTAAACAGACGCCTGTCCTCTGTTTTATACACAAAAACATCGTATCATTACAATCTTTAATGAAATTTTACCTACAAAAGTTCTGAATCTATATTTCAATCTTATAAAGCACAACCCTAATACAACTATCTCGACTTAATGACATGAACAGCCTTCACAAAATCACTAGATCAATATACTTCATAGTACAATTAGTTCAACCCCTGAAGGCAATTTTGTTTGCAGCTCGATAGCACACATTTTCGCTTCTACTTGACCCTCAAATTCCTTCCTTTGGGGTCTTACAAATTCGGGGGGTAACTTATATGGTCGGCAAGTATCAATGGTAATCTTCTCTAGCGACACAACATTTTCAAGTAAGTACATGGCAAACTCAACATCAATCTCACGGCCAGCAAATCCAATGAATTCGACCACCTTGGGACATTTAAGCAGACATTTATGCAGACATTTCTCCGGCCTTTCAACAAACTTTTCTTGCAAAAGCTCATTATACGAATCCAAAACCTGCCATGAGAAAAAAACATAGTACGTTAACACATATTTGTTGACAGGAAGAAGGATTAATATTCCAACTCCATTAATAATAGAGGAACCCTAATTCTTGCACAAGACTTGAATTAAATTGTTTATCTATTATGATGTTCAACAAACTAGGAGAAAGGCCACATACAACAAACAACCTAAGGAACCTACTACACCCAAGAGGCAAGGGCCCAGACCGAACCAAAGGGAACAAAAGCAACAACTAACCTTAGCCAATGCCTATCTTCAACCACTCACATGACATCTTCACACAAACCACAATATGCCACATTCTTGTAGCTTTTTTTTCCCGGTAGATTGCGTAAGGGCCATGCTTATCTTCTCTGTATCATTCCAATTGATGTCCCTAAAGGGACAACATTCTTGCGCGTTTACCTCTTACATAAACCCACACTATGTACTCTTACGGCTTTACTTGTTGCACACTTTACTAGAATAGTTTCCAAAACGCAGTGGACAGACATGGTTTCACAAGAAATGTAATGCTCTCGAATGCCAAACATGTCAAGTCCTATGGCAAACACAGTAACTCCCAACTGTTAAAACCTCCAACTTCAATAAACAGGCAAAGGTAGATGACTATCTTCATCACCATGAACCCTGAGGCCAAATCAACACTACTTAAAGCTGCAAGGCTGCTTATCCTAATCAAGCACTGCAGACAAATGATTAAACAATAGCACAGTGACAAATCTTCTTAAGGCCTGAATGTGCATTCCTCTGACTTCACAGTCTGTGCAAGAAGTCTTCTTCACAACTAGAGAGCAGTTATTGAATGAGCCTCGAGGTAATGCCAGTCAACTCTAGGAATACCTGTCAGCGTAGTAAAATTCGTAGATGTCTCCTAGTGGTCGATATCTAGGCTTCTCTTAGAGAGATACCTAATGGAACTCTTGAATTCGGAAAGCCCCTAATTATGTGACGATATAATAACAGCAACACTTCTCACTATGTGGTCACCTACCATAAGACTAACCTATTACCACAACAGATAACTAACTGCAAAAAGACCTGACTACCTCAGCATTGTCCTTGAGCTGTATTGGCAACCTGGAAACCTTGCGGACTAACATACCGCATCATAGCATCGTCTACCCACTAAACGCGATGAAATCTCATTTGGACCCTAATATGATGTGTGCAATATCCCATAATGAAACCTCATTGACATGAGCACCAGTTTCCCTTGTAGAAACTATGAACATACCTCTACCCCCCTCACATTACAATATAGGAGACACTCGGGCACATTTAATACAAAGCCGTTTTCCAAGAGCTCTATGAGCATCTACGTAGACCTATGCCTCTTTAAAACTTATACAAGTTTCAAAGACCAAAAGCAATCCTTAAGAATCCTTGCTTATTTCATTATTGCTACCCACTTAGCTATCATTTGATAACCCAACTCAACACTAATTTTCGAATGGATTAAGTGTTTATTCAATTAAGTGTGATGACATATTCAAAATCCCTATGTTAATTGACAATGACATTGAACGTTGAATTTTGAAGACTTAAAATTCAAATATATATATATATATATATATATATATATATATATATATATATATATATAATCTCAATTCATAATTATCGCTTAAAACTTCCGCACTTAAAATTCTGCACCCTACTCTTAAAATTCAAAAATATATTTCAGTTTTATCAAACAGCACCTTACTCTCATAAGTAGCCTAGTCCACAAAGGACTATTGTCTTATGTATAATACCTCTAACTTCAATTCCATCTGATTCAGAGTAAGCGGAAGAGGTCTTTCTTCAAACAGTTGAAAATGCTAAGAAAACTGGACTGAAAATTGCATTATTAAGGGAAACAATGTTTATTGGTTTTAAGTCATTTAGTAAAGCCGTAAATCTGACTTAATTTTCTGTTTAATGTTTATCTTAAGCTCTAGTTGGAATATTTTTGTCATTATGCATCTATTTAGTTAGTCATGTGCCTTCTACCTCTACCTTTCTTTTGGAATTGAGTGGTGAGTGTTTAAGTTGTACTTTAGCTTGATCTAGCTCTCTATTTTTCCTTCTTACAAATTTTCTTTTTCTTTCATAAGCTGATTGCATCACCATCTAAGAACAAATGTAACGTATTCCCTTTATATTAGCATCTAGTGCACATCACACATCGGTAATCATCAATTCACAAGTGCGAGGCAAAGAAATAATGAATTTTTTCACCAACTTTCCTAAAGAAGAGAGATAGAGAGAGATGCAGATTAATATTGGACATCAAAAGAATAAAAATTGGAAGGCAATGTAGGAATAGTGTGTTCTCATAAATTTTTTATTTTATTTATAAATTTATTTATTTTGTTGCTAGAAAGATAGATTTAATCCATCATGGTTAGTTTATATGTTGAAAAAGATCCTGCTATTAAGTAAAATCAGAAGCACGCAGCCTGCTTGACCAAACAGACCTTCTACCATGGCTGATGCTAAGCCTAAGCTACAAAATTAATGAGAGCAAACTAGATGCGCCATTGTTCTCAAATTCTTACGATATTCGATAAACTACATAAGACATGAATCTTATATATTATCTCTCAAATTATGTAAAGCAAAAGCATACATATTCAGAGTAAAAAGAAAAAAAAAGAAAAAGAAAAAAGAAAAAGAAAAAGAGGATGTAATATGAATGCTATAACAAGTTAACATTACTTCTTGTAAACTGGAAAGTAAGGGCATTAACCTCAATAGAAAATCTATACAAACAAGGAGATGCCTCTATCAGGGAAATGCAAGGAAGGAAGCTAAGAAATGCTTTCACTCTCAATCTTAATTGCTTTAGATTCCTTAATTTAGGAAATTTGGGGAAGTCATCAAATGCCTGAAGAGTCCAACCAAGAGTAATAACAAAAATGTGTCAGAAACCCATGAAGAGAAGGCATACAAACACAAAAGAGAGGTAGATACTAACCTGATGCGTCAAGTGCAATTCAAGTGTCTGCAGCTGAGAGATATAGCTAGATAGCTGAAACAGCTGAGAGATATAGCAAGACAGCTGAAACAATTTATGGAGTGTAAATGGGCCAGGTTCAATATGCAGCGATAGTTTAGAAAGATCGCATGGACTCTTGAAACACAAGTTTATTTTGGGACCAGAATATTCAAATGACACAAGATTTTTTGCAGATATCTCAATGTTTTCCAAATGCCAACAGTGAACTATTTTCAAATGCTTTAGTGATTGACCACAAACTTCTAGATTACTAGACATAACGAGCTATTAACAGATAATTCTTCAAGAAATGGACAGCTCGACAAGAAGCGTTCAAGACATTCTTCAGTCACTTCTACACAAGTAAAACGAATTGTAGTTAGGAATTGGAGGCTTGAAAAATCCAGTGACCGCATAGATAAACAATAACGCCCTTTTGGGCTATTCATCGAAAATAATTGTGTAAATTCAACTCAAGCCTTTTAACTCTCTTATGCAATGCAAAGTGAACCCAATTATCAATATCAGATGTGAAACTAGAATCCAAATCAAAATGAACTCGGAGGTCATCAATGGTTGCACCCTTGTGTGAGTTCAAGACCCCATTCACCAAACTCGCGTAGTTAGACCTCTCCACTTCTAACAGCTCCGGATTTTCTTTAACTTTCCGCAACACCTTCAAAGCATCAAAATCTAAAGCACCAGTTGAATATGTCCACAACTCTTTCCATCTACTTGAGAGTAGACTAGTTCTTGCTGCCTCTTTCATTGTCAAGTGAGACAGGATGCGAATAAGAATATCATTGGGTAATTGACTGATCCCATCTTCCAAATTATTAATCCTCTTTTTACACTGATTATTGCATATAGACAAAGTCAGTGGGAGTGAGGAGAATCAGTATAAAACAAAACAAGCAGGCACACCCACAAATACAACAATAAAATTCACCACAAAAACGAAGGAATTAAAGAAAAAAAAAGAACACGCGCACACATGTATAATCAAACAATAATTCACAACAAAAAACATATATATAATCAAAAAACACGCGCACAAATGTATAATCAAACAATAATTCACAACAAAACGAAGAAATTGAGAATAAAAATGAAATATATATAATAACTTCGCAAATGCAAATTTGGAGTCCAGTCGTCTTTTTTTCATTCTATAAGCTGTACAAGTAAAAGAGGCAAAAACAATAACCCTTTGGCAAGTATTGAACTTTGAAACAAATTGGAATTCCCGCAGACGAATTTACGACAGGAGAAGCGATAATGAATCGTAGTACTTCTCATAGGCATATATATAGACTATCGAATATACGACAGGAGAAGCGATAATGAATAGATATATATATGTATATATATATACACACTTCGTAGTACTGTATAACCAGATATATTGAGAATATTTGAGATATGTTTCCATTTAATGACTAATGGTGTTTGGAATGCTAGAACTGATGGTATTTGAATTTGGAATTGAAAACAAAAATTACCTTTACACATTTACTAAAATAGATAAAAAAAGAAATTTTCATTTATACCATTGGTAAATTACATAGGTTTGCCACTATGAAATTAATTAGGATCAATATATACATTTTAGAGAGACCCAAAAACATTTGGAAACTAAGACAACATCGTTCAAATACATCTCCCCAAAAACTAACAACAAAGGAAACACAATTAGAATAGAATTGTAACTTTATTTTCTAGTTTGCAAGAGCGCAACCGGTTGTGTGGGACGCGACTGGTTATGCTTGGCCAGTGAATTTTGTAAAACAATTATTTTGTAGCCCAAAAGTGCAATCGGTTAAGTGCCAGCGACCTGTTCCACTACACCATAATGATTTTCTTCAAAAAAAAGATTGGGTACAAAGATCACAACCGGTTGTGTGACACGCAACATGTTTCGATCGGTGTGGCAGTGCACTTTGAATATTTTCCAAGTGCCTAATACCAAAACTCACAATTAATAAAAATAACGCGTCCTCGCCAGCATACATTTTCTAATGTTTTGACACCTAAATTTGTCAATTACAAATTAATATTTCATTCACCTCCGCCATCTCCATCTCAATGGTAGAGCAAAGCTCTCTTGCAAAAGTCAAGTCCAATTCTACACATCTTTGTCACTTGTTCTGTACTTTTTTTCAAATCTTCTTCCGCTCATTTGTAGTGAGTTTATGTTTTTATTCGAAATAGAAACTATATTTTGTTGTGTAGTGTGTTCAATAGTGATTGAAAGCATGTTTGTTAATATAAAACTTGTTGCAAAAATTTTGGAACTAATAATATGAAATTGGTGAAAAATATTGCAAGATTGAGATGGTTGTGAGTAATATGTTATAAAATACATTTTAGCGGACCTAACTCAGCGATAGGACGTGTATTGTTTGGGGTCTTTGGACCATTTCAAAACCTACCAGCATCATTTTCCCTCCCCCTTCAACATTTAACTGCCTAACCCCACTAACCATTGCCAATTAAAAAAAAAAAAAAATTTGAGCTATGTTTTGGACAATGTTGTAAATACAAGATGTCTGGGAATTGAAATAACCTATTTATTATAAGTAAACTTCGTTCTTTTATCAAGTTAAAATTTATTTGTGTGAATTCACAAATCCTACCGTGAAATAGTTTCGAATCTACTATAAGATCAACTTTTCCTTCTAGGAAACTTTCTTCTTTTTCTATTACCATTATATATTATTAGGAGGAAATGACCAAACTTAGGAGGAAATGACAAAACTAGACATGTTTGTAATAGATTTAAACTAAAATCAAATTGCTAGACTTTCTTCTATACTACTTGCCGATAATTCCGACAAGAAAAATAAAAATTTAAAATAACTTGTGCCTGCCGTTAAACCATATCACGCTAATTAAGAAATTCTCAAAGCATAAAAAAATTTCCCATCCATTCAGTTATATAAAGGAATTCGCAAAGTATACCAATAAAAAAATAATAATAATTCTTTCCAATTGGTTCAACAATAGAAAGTTGAAACATAGAAGGCCGTAGCACCTATGTGAATTTTTCAACTGCCATGATAAAGGACAAATTTAATGTATTTTCATAGTTTTTATTACATAATTTATCATTAGAATGGATGAAGTACAGAGGAAGAAAAAAAAAAAAAATGGAATTACTTATTTCTCTTTAATTAATTTCATTCATCTTGGTAGGGGAATAAGAAGACTATCACTCTGAATTGTTGGAAATTTTTTATTTATTTTTTTTTTAGGTAAAATGGAAATTTTTTATTTGCTTGGCCGTAGCGAACGGAATGATTTTTATTTATTTTTTAAACGCTAGCCACATCTATGTTTCAACCATCTATGGTTGAATGGATTGAAAAGAAATTTTTTATTTTTTTTGGTATGCTTTGCGAATTCCCTTCAATGGCTGAACGGAATTCCCTTCTTTGGCTGAACGGGTGGGAATAAATTTTTTCATGCTTTGGGAATTACTTAATTAGCTTGGCATGTACAAGTTTTTTTTTCTTTTTTTTCGGGGGAAGTAACGGCAATAGAAGAAAAGCCAGCCAATTTGGTTTTAGTTCATTTTCATTAAAAACATGTCTAATTTTTCATTTTCATTAATAATATATAATGGTAATAGATAAAGAACCAAGTTTCCTAGAATAGAAAAAGCAAAAGTTGATTAATTAATTACCATAAAATTAGATTCTAAGATCAAGATTAAAAGTGAGTTTACTTGTCCTGCACAGCACGGGTTGAACACCACTATATATATAAAGAGAGGATTATTTTCCAAGTTCGTAGAAACCCAATTCAACATTACTTTTCAAGTTGGTGCAGACCCAATTTAACCTCCTCTCACAAAATTGTTCTCTTTTCCTCTCCATGCAAAAATTGGTCTTGTTTGTTTATACACAACAACAAAAATTTCTCTCTTTTTCTCTGTTGTTTGGGTTTTATATCTCTAATCAGTTCATCTTCTCCTCCTGCTACTATTCTGCTACTATTCTGCAAATTTTATTTGTTAAATTATGCAGAAAATTGTAAGTTCAAATCCCATGGAGAAAACCACCTCACTATGTTGTGCTCAAATCGGAAGGTACCATCTTTTTTTAAACGGATTTCTATGCCTCTTTTATATTTTCTCTGAGTTATTTTTTTAATAATAATAATAATATATTATTAAATTTTAATCTTTAATTAGAATAGTGAGAAGGATGATAAAGAAGGGTTGTATTTTGAGGATCACATTAGTAAACTTCCAGATGTTATACTCGTTTTAATCTTGTCACTATTAACAATGAAAGAAGCTAGAAGAACAAGTTTACTATCCAAGAGATGGAGATACACGTGGACTTACATTGCTGGTTTGATCCTTGATTCCTTACCTATAAAATTTGGAATTATACTCTGAGAAAAGAAAGTTGAAGTAGAATGGCCATTGTATTTAGATGGGTTAATCAAGTCTTGAAATCGCACAATGCGCCAACTATAGATGAATTCAGAGCTCAATTTGATCTTGATGAAACTTATAGACTTGATATTGACAATTGGGTTAACTTTGCAATGGAAAAGAGAGTTAGAAGGCTTGAGTTAGACTTGTCAGAAAGTATCAAAGGTAGTAGAAAGGAAGAGAATTACAATTTTCCTGACCCAAATGGTATTGCAAATCACCTGTATTCATTGTCTCTTGGGTTTACTAGCTGCAACTTCTTGACCAATCTCCTGACAGACGTCAACGTAAATGGATAAGTTCTCGAGTGCTTCTTAACAAACTGTCCATTATTGGAACAATTGTTTGTGAAAAAATAAAAATAGTCTTATAAATCTGAAAGTTCCTGATCTATCACTCAAATTAAGTATTTGAAGATGATTAACTGCTGAAAAATGATATTTTGAGCGACTAGTTTTAACCGATAAAAAACTGACTCAACACGTCACCCCTCCCCCCTTCTACACAGCGCTATTGACAGCTCACAACCCTCTCCTCTGCGCCCTCTCTTTCTTTCACTTCTATGAATCTATCAACAAATTTCATAAAATCACTTGCAAAACCCAAATCTCTGCAATCCTAAATTTGTATTCCATATAATTATCTCTGCTGACAAACCCAATTATCTTCTATTGGATCCAAGAATTCGCTGATTTTGATTTTAAAATAATGTTGGGGTTCTTTAAGTACCACTCAAACTAAAATAGCTAATTTCTCAATTTGTTTTGCCTCTTCAAAACCTAAAATTTCTCTAATTTAGTCAGTTTTGATGTGATTAACTAACGAGGCGACGGACAACAGAACAATGGGCAAGGTCGGAGGTGAAGTGGCGGGACTGAACCGGGAGTTTCCGGCGAAACAGAGAGCAAATCTATGCTCTGAACGGTGATGGAGAAGGAACTTTAGTGGTGGCACTAAAATGGCGGCGACAAACAAGGATCTGAGCCGCGGTGGTGGACAGCGGTGAATACGCCGGGACGTCGGCGGTGGCAACCAGAATCCAATTCATGGGACGGTCGATGACGATGCCGAAAGAGCTGTTTCCGGCCAGTTCAGCGTCTTTAATGACCTGAATTTCATCTAAGACAGCGGACGGAGAGTAGCGTCACCTGGATCTGACCCACACCACTGAAGTTGGCTAGTGGTTGTTTTTCCGTCTGTTCTAGCTGATTCTTTGCTTGCTTGTTTTTCTGCTGGAAAGATGGGCTCGATTGTTAGATAGAGAGAGAGGAGTGAGAGAGAAGGGACATCGGGTTGAACAAAAAAAAAAAAAAAATTTGACAAGTTGGACAGCAACGTGTGATAGTCGGTAAGTGTCGGTTCAATAATAGTCGGGCTGAATATCAACACTCTTAACTGCTTCAATGTGGAAAGTATTGAGATTTTTGCTATGAATCTCATGTCATTTAGGTACCACGGACCAAAAATTAGCTTGCCATTTAAGAATGTCCAGCCACCTATTGATTTGTTTATTGGGGGTGATTATTGTGAATATCTAATATATAAGTTTTTGGAGATTTCAAGCAATCTTTCTCCGCTAGAAAGCCTTGCGTGGCAGTTAATAACCATGATATGGGTTAGGAAGTTTAACTATTTCATTTGATCTCTTCCCATTCGTTTTTATTTTATTCTTTTTACTTTTTAGCTTAGCTGTGCTGATTTACTTTTACTTTGGTTTATGTAGAGTAGATTTGACGATGCTAAATTTCCTGTATTAAATAAACTCAAGTGACTAGAGTTGCTACTTGACATAATGGATGGTGAAAACCTTATTGTTTTTACTCCCCTGATAGAGGCATCTGCTTTCTTGTCTAAATTTGTGTTCCTGGTAATAAGTTTTACATCACGACCTGTATTTCTAATTTGTAAGGTTTATTGCTTTCATGATTGAATTTTCAAATGGAAATTTTGATTCATTTGTCCTTCAACTTAAAAGCTTTTAATTTTCCAATTAATTGCTTTTTTTTAACTACTACAAAATTACAACTAGTAATAGGAAAAATGCTCTTACAGTGTTTAGCTTAGCTTGCTCTAGTCTCTTGTTTAAGTATTTTATAACTGAATGTCATTCTGTTGTTCCAATGTTGGTTTAATTTTTACTACCTTGGAGTTATACATGGTCTTTTAATATGTTACATGTTCTTAGATTGCTTTATTTTCATAATTGTTCAAGAACTCCTCCTGGAGTAGGACCTCTTGAGGTCTATAACCTTATTCGGTCAAATTCAGTTTTATTGCTCTTAAGAACAGTGTGAATTCCTTTCTAATGTAGTGTTTTCTTATGTCTAACGCGACCGGTTTCGCCAATGGTGGTTATTCCATTAAGTCTGGCAATGTTGTGATTCTAACTTGAACAATTATGATTTAATGGTTGGTAATTTGGTTTTTTATGCTATAATGGTCTTTAGTCATATGTATAACAGCCTTGGCGCTTGTGGTGGCTATTCCATTGATTCTAGCAATGTCATGTTTTTAACTTTAAGAATTATGATTTGATGCTTGGTAATTTGGTTTTGTATATATGCTAATAGTCTGCCCACCATATGACTCTATTCCTCCTTGTTGGAAATCATATCTATAAGTTGACTCAAAGATTGTGGCAGATTTATTGGGTCTTCATTATAGGCTAATGTTTATGGATTTTATTTTTATTCTGATTTGATTTTATTCTCTTTTCTATATTTATAATTTTCCTCTTGTATATAATGATAGTCAGGCTCTCAAATTGAGAACGCCAATTTTACTGAGTTACCTTTTGGTATCAGAGCCTCAAACCTACGCCTCCCCCATTTCTATCTCGTCACAGCCCCTTCCCTATTTCTTTTTCCCTTTTCTTCACAGACCCTCTCTCTTCTTCAGGCCGCTATTGCGATATTCCTAGGGGGAGCCAATCTCCTTTAAGTTCAACCCCTATAGGGGTATTTCCTTAATCTTTTTCATGCACTAAGGGTCAGAAGACGTGTTTGTAATTTTTTCGGGCTGCCGAGATATTCGGCAGCATTT